GGTGGACCAGGAAACCGCGGCTCCTCACTCCCCCAGGCACCTCCCCGGGACTGCTGACCCCAGGGCCACCCCTCCCAGGGTCGGGTGGTGGGGGCGACCAGGAGGGTCACTCCCAGCCCGGAGCTGGCCGCCTCCTCCAGGCCAGCAGCGCCACCTGGTGGCCGCAGGCCTCCAGACACGGGTCCAACTGGCGCGTCCAGCCGGTCCGTGGGAGGGGCTGGCCGCATCACAGCAGCTCTGAGAGCCCAGGGGTCCCGTGCCCGAGCCCAGGCCTGGAATGTGCCCTCGCTCTGCCCCTGCCAGGTGCGTGCAGGTTCCAGGGGCAGCTCGAGAGAGGGCGTCACCCAGAGGGTATTCCAAAAGGGGGCTCTCAGTCCCCTCGTGTGTGTGCACGTGCATGTGCGTGTGCGTGTGTGCGCGTATGTATGTGTGCGCGCGTGCGTGCACGTGTGAGTATATGTGTGTATGCATGTGTGTGCATGCGCGCGTGCATGTGTGAGTATATGTGTGTGTGTGTGCGCATGTGTGTGTGTGTGTGCATGTGTGTGTGCGTGTGTGCGTGCGTGCGTTGGGGGCAGAGGGCCTGCGGGAGGGGCTCCTGCGCAGGGAAGGGGAGCGAGGCTGCTGGAGGAATGAGGGGAGATGAGTGAGTGTCCGGGGCAGCCCGTTCCCTCCGTTAGCTCGGGGCAGTCGCTGCTGATGAAGCGCTGAGCTCCATGCGTGTACCCACACACAGGTGAACACGCACACACAAACACGCACTCACACACAGCATATACACATACACAACGACGCACACGCATACGCACATACGACATACACACGTGTTTCATGCTCACAACCCCACCTCGGGGTAGAAGGGGCCAATTACCTCCCTGACGGAAGGGGAAACGGAGGCTCCGGATGGCACGTGACTCCCTCCAGATGGAGGGCTGGGGTGGCCAAGGGCGTGCCTGGGCGGGCGAGCCGCGGCCCTGCTGTTCCCGCGGTGCCCACCGGGCGGGGCTGTGGCGCCCTCTCTGAGCCTCTGGTGTCCCGGCCCAGGCGCTGCCCCGGCCCCGGCCCTGGGCTCTGCCCTGGAGACGACAGGATAGAATGGGGTTCAGACCCTGGGCCTCACCCCCCAGCAGGCCCGTGGGAGGCCCAGGACCCCCAGGAATGGGTCCCGAGGCCACCAGTGCTGCCTGGACTCCTGGGGCTCCCAGGGGTCAGGCTGCTGCATCCCGGCCCTGGATGTGAAGGTCTGTGGGTCCCGGGACCCTGGGAGACGCGGGAGATGAGGGGAACGGCTGTGTCCTTGGCCGCCCCTACCCCCCTGAACCTCCCTCGGGAGCCCCCACTCTGTCAGGTGGCGCCCCAGGAAGACTCCCTGGCTTGGGGTGTGACTGGGGACCCCACACTGTGTGAGGCCACCTCTCTGCCCAGGACCCCCCTCCCCCAAGTGAGCCTGGGAGCGGCCGGGCAGGGGCGGCATGGCGGCTGCTGTAGGAGCAGAGCCCTTTGTCCGGGCTGGGGCGGTGGCTGCCAGAGGGAAGGGGTGGGGGGAGAGGGGTCCTAACATGCGGTGGTGGGAGGAGATGTGGCTCTGGGCGGTGGGCACACGGTGCAACACACAGATCTTGTCACACAGAAACCCACCCCTGAAGCCCGTGTGATCCCCGTGGACCCACGTCACCCCAACCAGTTTAATAAACAACAAGAAAAGAAGCAAGTCCTTGCTGGGCCCGGCGGGAGGGGGCATGCAGCCCCACTGGGTGGGCAGAGGGAGCAGCCCCCCCCGCCCCCCGCCAGGCTGGGGAGTCATGTGTCCTAAGCCCTGATTACAGATGGGGAAGTGTGGCTGAGAGGGGCTCCCAGCGGCCCCTGCCCCCCAGGCCCCTGCCCGGAGCAGGACTCCTGCCCTCTGGGCCCAGGGCTCTCACTTGCAGATGGCGAAGCTGGGAGGCCCCAGGTCACTGCTCAGCTGCAGCCTGGTGGGTGGGGGGACTGCTAAGACCAAGCCACACACTAGAATGGATTCCCCCCAACGTGTGGGAGCCCTGAGGGCAGGGCCGGGGAGGGGCTGCCTGCAGAGGGCTGACAGCTAGGCTAGTCGGGGCAAGGGAGGCTGCGAGGGGCAGGGAGGGGCCATGTGGAAGTGGGGGGACACAGAGAAAGAACAGGGGCCTAGGCCTGGCTGCAGGGGCCTGTCCCCCCTTTCCTCAGTCCCCGCTCCCTGCACTGGGGCCCTCTCCCTCTGCGACACTCAGCCACTGGTCCCTGCCCCCCGGCCCACAGCCTTTAAGCCGGCCTGGGGTGGTGTGGCCTTGGCCGGGGTCAGGCGGTCTGCGTGGGAATTCTAGCTCCTCTGCGGTGACATTAGGTGGCCTTGGAGCCTCCCTGTTCCCTCTGTGACTTGGGAACACAGACCCCTCGGGGCGTGAGGACACCCCCAGAGGGTGTGAGGATGTGGCGTGACTGGCCCAGGGGTGTCTTCGCAGCTCACACGCCCCCTGGGCGCCCCTGGCCGGCGCCTCCTGGAGGAGGGGTGTGGGAGGCGGGTGAGGGGGGCGTGCTGCGAGTGCGGGGTCTGAGCCAGGAGCAGGGGGGACGTCCATCTTCGAGGGCGCCGACTCCTGCCTCAGGCACCGGGCCTCCAGGAAGCCGGGCGGGCGCCACCGTGACATTTCCTGCTATTAATGGAGCCTAATCCAAACAGGCCCTAATATTTACCCCTCTGCCTCCGCCTCCGGCGCAGAGGGTGCCAGACAGCCAGAGTGATGGGCCTGTCCTAGCTCCCCGCCCCCCCTCCCCCCGCCCCCCGCGCTTCCCTGGCCCAGGACGCAGACCCGCTGTGTGTGAGGCGGGAACGGGGAGCCGCACACCCGGAGCCTCAGTTTCCCCATCTGTGAAATGGGGGTGACAGTCCTGACCTCCAGGCTTATGGGGGTTTCAGGGGAAGGGAGGACGCGCGCGCGGTGCAGCTGTGCGAGCCCACAGTCCCCCCCCTCCCGGGCGTCCTGTCCGCTAACTGTCCCACCCTCCTCCCGCTCCCTCCAGGACACACTTGGGCATTCTGGCCGCCCTGCCATGTCCACCTCTCCTCCCTGGCACTCGTCATTCTGCCCACCTGTGTCCCTACACCAGTGACTGTGCCCGCACCCTGCCCACACGTCTGCCCCTGCAGCCCCGCCACCCCCTGCCCTTCACAGAGGCCGGGACGGCAGAACCAAGAGCCCTCGGCCCAGTCTCTCCCGGAGCCGCCTGGGCAGGGACAGTGGGTGCAGGGCTGGTGCGCAGGCCGCCCGCTCGGCCCTCGGCGACCCCTGCCCACCAGCGGAGGGAGTGCGGGCACGAAGGGAATAAACAGGTTTAATTTGGGACGAAGACGTCTCCTCAAGGACACTGTTTACATCAGATATAAATACACATGCCATCTCGCGTCACTCGGACTTTCGGAAAATCCGGAAGGGAGGCCGCGAGGAGGGCCTGGCGATGCAGAGACCCCCCCCCCCCCTGCATCCTCCCCACCCCCCCACGGGCTCTCTGGGGAGCAGGAGGGAGCAAGCCTCGGTGGATGTGGGGGCCCGGCCCCAAGCCCCTTCCCCTCTAGCTGCCAGGCCCGGAAGAGGAACAGAGATGGGGAGACTGTGGTCCATCTGCCGAGGGCTGTCCAGGGGCCACTGGGCTGCTTCTCAAAGGCATGAGGTGGGCCCATTCCCGCCCTGGCCCGGAGGCAGGGGCCACCTCTCAAGGTCGGATGGTGGCGGCTCCCCAAGGCTCTTGCAGTCCCTGAGGAACCAGGTTGGATGGAGGGATTGCAGATCTGGGGACCAGAGGCACATGGAGGCAATCCTGGAGGCCAGGGCAGAGGAGGCGATCAGAAGCTCAAGCCAGAGCCCGGCCGGCGTGGCTCAGGGGTTGAGTGTCAACCTATGACCCAGGAGGTCACGGTTCGATTCCCGGTCAGGACACAGGCCCGGGTGGCGGGCTCCATCCCCAGGGTGGGGTGTGCAGGAGGCAGCCGATCAGGGATTGATGCTCTCTCATCATGGATGTTTCTCTCTCCCTCTCCCTCTCCCTTCCTCTCTGAAATCAATGAAAACAAATTTAAAAAAGAAGCTCAAGCCAGAGAAATGCTCCCTCCCCAGAGAGAGCGGGAGCCAGGGTGAGCCGGGCGGGCAGCTGGGCAGCGCCCCTCTGCCGGGACGTGCAGGAGGCCGTGCGGGGAAGGCCACGGGAGGCCTGCGTCCTGTGTGTCTTTGCTCTTGGTTTTCTCATCCATAGGATGGGCCGGAGCCGGGCTGTCCTCCCGGGACAGCGGGCAGGCCTCTGCGGCCCTCCCGGGCTGGCTTTGGGAAGGCCTGCGCCCCCTCCCGGGGCAGCACGGGGTGCGGGAGGAAGCGGGACTGGGTTTTGAGTCGGACCTGGCCTCCCCCCCCCCGCGTGGCACCGCACTTGCTGGGTAACCCCCCGCCCGAAGGGGGGCAGCAGCCAGCCTCTGCCCTGTGGGGTGGTGGTAGGTTCAGGCATCAGCCCAGATTCCCAAGTACCGGCTCAGAGCTAGCGCCCCCGGGCGGTCTGTGGTCTCCCCGTGCACATCATGGCCCCTGGGGGGGGGGGGCCCAGGCAGGACCCTTCACATCACTCACGTACGTAAATCTGTGTCCCCTGCCATTTCCTTTCTGTGCTTGTTCTTCTATCTCCATGGGGGAGGGGTGGAGAAGGGGGGAGGGGGAGGGGTGGAGAAGGGGGGATGGGGATGGGGAGGGGGAGGGGTGGAGAAGGGGGAGGGGGAGGGGGAGGGGAGGGGTGGAGAAGGGGGGAGGGGGAGGGGTGGAGAAGGGGGAGGGGGATGGGGAGGGGGAGGGGTGGAGAAGGGGGGAGGGTTGACTACTATTATTTTTTAATCCTCACCAGAGGATATATTTTTTTCTATTGAAAGAGTGGAAGGGAGGGAGGGTGGGGGAGAGAGAGAAACGTCGATGTGAGAGAGACAGATCTGTTGGTTGTCTCCGGCATGCACCCCGACGGGGGCAGGAGGGATGGAACCTGCAACCCAGGTCCGTGCCCTGAACCAGGAGTCTGACCGAGATCCTTCAGTGCGTGGCCAACGCTCTAACCACTGGGCTGCAGGCCAGGCTTCAGGGTGACTCACTCACTCTCCTTGGAGCCCCAGTTTCTAAAAGCCCGTGTCCCTTTGGCTGCAGACCCCCTTCTGGGGACAGAACACCGGCAGAAGGCGTGCCAGCCGCCCCATGTCCAGGGACACGTCCACACTCCAGGGAGGCAGTAGCGGTCGGAGCCCCCGCCAGCCTGGAGCCAGCGGACACTGCTCGCCAACCAGCGCGCAGCGGCCCTGGGATCCGCGGGCTGTGCCCTGCGCAGACGTCACCCACGGGTCAGGTGGAACCGACCTGCCGCCGGGCCGAGCTGGTCCTGACCTGGCCGGCCCTGCCCTTGGGCCTCCTGGCTGGGTCCTGCCAATCACGCCTCCGGCCCATTAGCCAGGGCCTGGGTCAGGGCACCGGGGCCGGCGCCGAGGATGCGGCGGTGGCCCGAGCCCCGGGAGCTCTTGCGCACGCCGACCGGGGCGCCGGCTCCGGGCTCCCCCTCGGCCACGTGCCGGCGGAAGAGGCCGCGCACGGTGGCCTGGAAGCCACTGGTGACGAAGCAGTAGACGATGGGGTCCATGCAGCTGTTGAGGCTGCTGAGCGTCACGGCCACGTGGTAGACCACGAGGCTGGCGTGGCGGGGGAGGTCGGGCCACAGCGCCACGGCCACCTGGCGCGCGTGGAAGGGCGTGAAGCAGACCAGGAAGATGACGAGCACGGTCAGCAGCAGCTGCATGGCCCGCACGCGGCGCTGGCGGCCCTGGCGCAGCAGGCCCGGCCGCGACAGCGCGCACACGATGCGGCCGGTGAACACGCTGATGACCAGCAGCGGCAGCAGGAACTCCAGCACCGTCAGCGCGAAGACCCGGCAGCAGGGCCCGCCGGCCGCCACGCCCAGCACCGACAGCGTCACGGCGCCGGCCGCCAGCCACACCAGGGCGCACACGGCCCGGGCGCAGGCCGGCTGGCGCCAGCGCCGGGAGCCCTCGGGCTGCACGATGGCCAGGTAGCGGTCCACGCAGATGCAGGTGAGGAAGAGGATGGAGCAGTGCATGTTGAGGAAGTAGCCGAAGACGTGCGGGAAGGCGCAGCGCAGGCAGCCCCGCGTGCCGTAGAAGACGGCGAAGCGCGTGGGCAGCGACAGGTCCACCAGCAGGTCGGTCACCACCAGGTTGATGGTGTAGGTGACGGAGGGCGTGGAGGCCCGCGTGCGGCAGCAGAACACGTACAGCGCCAGCCCGTTGAGCGCCAGCCCCGCGAGGGAGACGCCGCCGTGCACGGCCAGCAGCGCCAGCCACAGGCCCGGGAAGGCGCGGTGCAGCTCCTCGTCCAGCGCCGCGAACTCGTGGAACAGGGGCCGCTCGCTGCGGTTGGCCCACGCTGCCGCCGGCGCCGTGGCATTGGGGGCCGCCACGGCCGAGGGCCCCGCCGGAGACTCAGAGGCCATGACGGCGGCCGGCCAGCGCTCGCTCCGGGCCTGGGAGGAAAGAGATGGGGTTACCCCGGCGGCATTTGAGCCCTGGAGGCTGGCCCCCCGCTGGTCTGCTCACCGAGCACCCCGGCCCGCCTGCCTTCCTGCCTCCGCCTCCGCGGCCCTGGCATTGCCCGAGGGGCGCTTTGGCAGGACATTGGTGCCCTGTTCTGGCCAGTGTGGCTCAGTGGACAGAGCGTCGGCCTGCGGACTGAAGGGTCCCGGGTTCAATTCCGGTCAGGGCACAGGCCCCGGTTGTGGGCTCGATCCCCAGTGGGGGGTGTGCAGGAGGCAGCCGGTCAAGGATTCACTCTCATCATTGATGTTTCTATCTCTCCCTCTCCCTTCCTCTCTGACATCAATAAACATATATTAAAAGAAGAAGAGGAAGGAGGAGGAGGAGGAGAAGGAGGAGGAGGAGAAGGAGGAGCACTGAGCACAGCAGCGCCCGGCACGTGGTCGGGGCCAGGGAGACAGTGGGCGCCCACCCCATGCTCACCCGCCCGCTGACCCCTCGCCCTGAGGCCCGGCCTGTCCTTCGTCCACCCACCTGTGCTCACTTCCTCCAACGGCGCCAGGGCAACGTCCTGGGTGAGGGTCCTCGTAGGGCCGCTCCCAAGGGGCAGGGACGGTTCTGTCCCCTCTGGGTGCCCTGCGCCCTCCCAGCCCTGAGGGGCAAGCACCTGGTGTGTTGGAGGCACAGGCACGGGTTCGCCAGGGCCGGGCGGAGGGGCCGAGCGGGTGTGAGTTACGTAAACGCCCGGTGGCCCAGACACGCTGGGGGGGGCGGGCAGGACGGGGGCCGCCCCTCTGTTTACGTTCCCACCCGAGCTGTCTAACTTGCTGGGATTTATCCTTTATTTATAGAGGAAGGGGTCATGGGCCCCCTGCCCCACGGCGGCCGCTCCTCCAAATAAGGGCATTTCTGGCTTTTTCAGGGGAAAGGAGAGAAGCGGGAGGAGGGGTGGGGCGTGGACAGCCTGGCGAAGGGCCCTCCCCCTGCAGGCGGCAGGGAAGACCCCTCTCCTAGCGACCGAGGGAGCCAGACGCTGCCCCCGCTCCGGCTCCAGGCTCCCTCTGGCAGCGCCCGCTCTGCGGGGCGAGAACCCAGCCCTGCCTGCTGGGGTGGGGGACCCACTGCCCCGCCCGGTAGGGCACACCCAGGAGAGGAGCCCTCACTGGTCGAGGCTCCGTTCCAAGCGGGCTGCGGGGAGGCCTGGTGAGCGGGCGCTGCCCTGTCCTGGGGCTCAGAGTCAGCACCTGCTGAGGGTCCCCCAGGGGGGCCTCTGCCTCAGCCCCTGCGGCTGCTGGGAGTGGCCAGGTGCTGCCCAGGCCTGTGCCCGGCCCCTCCAGTCGTCCCCAGCACCCTGGGCCCAGGCTCAGCTCACGGGTCCTCCAAGTCATGTTCAGCCCTGACCCTGGTCACACTGAGCCCTGACCCGAGTCACACTCAGCCCTGACCCTGGTCACACTGAGCCCTGACCCTGGTCACACTGAGCCCTGACCCTGGTCACACTGAGCCCTGACCCTGGTCACACTGAGCCCTGACCCTGGTCACACTGAGACCTGACCCGGGTCACACTGAGCCCTGACCCTGGTCACACTGAGACCTGACCCGGGTCACACTGAGCCCTGACCCGGGTCACACTGAGCCCTGACCCTGGTCACACTGAGCCCTGACCCTGGTCACACTCAGCCCTGACCCGGGTCACGCTCAGCCCTGACCCTGGCCTCAGCCTGGGCTCTGACCTCTGACCTGTATTCGTACCATCCCTTCCCCATCCTCTCTGTTGAGTCTGGCCATCCCCACCCCTATCCCCCACCCCCCGAAGGCCTGGTCCTCACCTGTGAAATGGGGTCACTAGTGTTTCCCATGGGGGGGCATGGCCCTGTCCCTTCCCCTTCCTGGCAGGTGCCTGGGCCCTGGCCCAGGCGGAGCAGACCCTGAAGCTGGGCCAGCTGGGCGGGGGCCATGTGTGCCTGAGGTGCCCAGACCAGTGCTGGGCGTGGCCTGGAGACTGGACCAGGGCACCTGTCCAGCGGGGGAGGCGTGTCCCTCCACCAGCCATTCACCGAGTTTGGTTCAAGTCTCAGAGCCCCAGTGGCTCACCTGGATGCTGGGAACCGTGTTTGTTGAATGAACAAGCGAGCAAACCAATGAATGAAATCTGGCAGCGGCCGGAGGAGCCTGAGGGAGTGAGCACCAGGCTCACGGCGTAACAACCCCGGTGCTGGCGGCTCTGGGCTCCCGCTGAACGGGGCCCTGACTGGGCCTCCCAGGGGCGCGTGCGGGACGTCTCAGAGCCTTGGTGAAGGCTCGAGCCCAGGCTCAGCCCACAGAGGGAGAGTGAGCATCTCCCAAGTCCTCTGACCCTGTGCCCTCCTGGGGCTCCCTCTCTGTCCAGCCTTATGGCCACAGCAACTACTGGGGGCTGTCTCTGCTCACAGCTCACTGGACCCCTGCCCCGTGCCCAGCAACACAAGGCCAAGACCCCACGGGGCCCTGCTGACCTCCCCTCGTTGGCAGGTAGGGGTGCGTCCTTTCGCACGCCCTCGCCCACCTCCTGCCCCTGCGTGTTCTCTGTGGTGCCTCCGCCTGCCACATAGGGGGCTGCGGGGAAGCCAGGCCTCAGCCGTGGGCAGCACACTCTTCCCTGGCCAGGTGCCCGCAGCCTCGCGGGGCCAGGCGTCCACACCGCGGCCGGAGCTTCACAGACGGGGGAGCGGAGGCCCAGCTCGGTGGGTGATGTGCCCGGGGTCACAGCGTGGACTGGTGGATGGCAGCCAGGTCACCTGGGCTGGTGGGGGGACCGGGCTGGTGGGCATCTCTGGACCTGAGGTTTGTTGGGCACAGGGAGATGCTCGGGCACGCAGTCCCCGTGTGTGCCCACGCCCCCAACACGATGACATTCCAGGGCCAAAATAGCCGATATGAGAGGAACCATCTGCCTGTTTATTTTTCTGGTTATTCTTGGTTTCATGGCAGCAGCTTGAGAATATCGCCTGTGGTTCTACCAGGTCGGCCGGGCCCTTACTGAGGCCCCAAGAGGGTCCCCGCTGGCTCTGGGTCACCCAGCAGGTCCTAGGGGGGTGCCAGGCAGAATCTAGGCTCCTTCCCTGCCGGGGCTCCCTTCACTGGGCTCCGAGAGGGGGACCCCTCGTGGGCACGGGTGGGGTGCTGGCAGAGGGCACCTGGGCTCCGCCACGCCCGCCGGACTCTGCCTCACATCCCGCCCGATGGAATGGGGTCCTGGGTGCTCCGACAGCCTCGCTGCCGCCCCGGCTCACCCCTCCAGGCAGCCTCCCTGGGGGCAGGGGATGGGGCTCCAGGCACCCCGTCTGGCCTCTGCCTCATCCTTCCCCGCAGATCCTCGGCCTGGGATGCTCGGCCTTTGCACATGCTGTTCCCTCTGCCCGGCATGTGTCTCTGTCAGTGTCACCTGCCGAAGGCCCCTCGCACCCACGGGCACCACCCCACACCGCCGTCCCCGGGCCCCCTGACCTCCTGGTGCCCTGGACACCCTTCCAGGGGCTCACTGAGCCTCCCCCAGACACCCCCAAGTTGGTGTTACCAGCCCCAGGCATGTGAGTCCCCCAGCGGGGGCGAGGAGCTGGAGTGCACCCTCTGCCTGAGGCCCCTCCTGCCTGCCCCGTGCCTCCGACAGCGGACACGGCCTGTGCAGGGGGAACCAGAGGCCAGGGCAGCAGCTTGACCGGGCGGCCCAGCCCGGAGCCCCTGCAGGGAGCGGACCTGAGCGCCCCTCTGGCTGGCAGAAGGGTATGGTGTCCAGTGGGCAGCTGGGTGGCCGGCCTGGAGGCTGTGAGCGCCGCCTCCCTTCCACCCTGCCCGCCCTTCCGCTCCCAGTCCTGCCCGAGGCCGCACAGCTGCTCCGCGTCTGCCCTCCCGCCGCCCTGGCCACGGGCCAGTTCCCAGCCCGCCCGCCTGCCCCCCGCGGGACCGGCTCCTTCTCACAGGGCAGCCGCCTCCAGCCAGAAGCCAGACGGGGCAGAGCCAGCTCCCAGGCCCATGCCCTGACGGCCGGTGTGCCTGGGCCTCAGTTTCCCCACCCCTAGTCGGTGGGAAAAGGGTGGGGCTGGAGCTGAGGGCCTCAGCTGTGGAGTGGCTGGGTTGCCCTCCATGTGTGTGGAGGGCTGCTTGGGGCCGGTCCCCACAAGCCCCTCAGCCCCCACCCTGCCCAGCCTGCAGGAAGGGGGGGCGGAGGCCCCACAGCCCCTCCAGGGCCCCTGGGGTCCCCCTTCTAGTGCCTCCACAGGTGGGCGATGCTGTGCCGCCTCGGCAGCCACCGGCAGAGGATCAGAGAGCTGCTGAATGAGCAAGTGAGTGAATGAATGGAACCCAGAGAAGGGCTTTGGGGCTCAGCAGCACAGGTGAGGCGCGGGCGGGAGGGACGCCCCGCCAGCCCTGGGCAGCTCTCCGCCCTCTCTGCACCCGCCTGGCCGCTCGCCGCCGCCTGGGGCTCAGTTTTCCCATCTGTGCAGTGGCCCCTCCTGGCCAGGGCCTGAAGCCCCTCTGGCCGGGCTGCCTGCCATCCTGAGCAGGTGCCAAGCGGAGGCCGGGCCAGCCCTGGACTCACCTCCCCTCCGCCGGCCGGTGGTGGCAGCGCCGGCTCCCCAGCCTCCTCGCAGCTCTGCGGCCACTCGGTCAGGCGGCCGCTGCCTTCCTGGGGCCTGACGTCAGCCGGCGCCCGCCCGGGGCTCCTTTTGGGCAAAGGCAGCAGCGGTGGGGGCGGGGCAGCCGATTCTCCCCACCCCCCACCCGGCCCCTGCAGGAGCCTGGCCAGGGCCCTGCGGGGAGGAGCTTAGGGGCTGCAGAGTCCACAGCCCCGCGGGGCAGAGGAGGAAACTGAGGCACCCAGGGGTGGGGCCAAAGCTGCACCGGCCAGGAGGGGGAGGGGGAGAGGGGCGTCCTGGGGGCTCCAGCCGGGCTCCCTGACCCTCCAGTGCCTGGTCTGGGAAGACGCAGGGCAGCCTGTGCGCC